TGGCAAAAAACGCACACAAACAAACAAACAAAAAAGTTGGGCGCGTTTTGTAAGAACTTTGTAAAATATCAAGGCCCAAGTGACAACTGGGTACTACCCACCCAAGTTAAGGGTAACTCTATTGTAGCGAATTCTCCACCCTTCTGTTGGGACACTGTTGTTTTAGTTCATCATGGTCTCCAGCCCACCAGCAGCAATGGAAGCCTTAGGAGGTATAGGACCCAGGAAGAGGCAGTGTCCAAGAGACATGGCATTACCCAGGAGAGAGTGGCACCCGTTTCTCAGCTGTCTGGACTTATTACTGGACACAAGTGGGGTTTCTCTCAAGCCCTCTCCCAAACATCAAAAACGGAGACGTTAGGGACCCTGCTCCTGCTAGTACAGGGGAGTTTGAAGCCAGCTCAACACAGCTCCCACACTATTCTTATCTGATCTCTACAGCCCTGGAAGGCAAGTTTTATCCCCAATTCAAATGACAAGACTGTCACTTGCAACAACCTATAAGAACTGCCAGGTTGCTTCCTCCATAACTTTTGGAGGCCCAGAAGTAATAAATTTTACTTATCTTTCACATCCTCACAACAGGAATTTTAAAAGTCTCCATGGCTTTCTAAGCTTACTGAACCATTCTCTTGATTACTTGGTATTGTTTTCCAATTTTTACTTTTATTTTTATGGTAAAAGTAATCTGAACAAAAACAAAAAAAAACACCCACAGATAACCAGTAAATCTTTTAGTAGACACAGCTTTCAGAGTTTTTTCTGTACATAGATCACTAGGTAAATATTTTTTCAGTTTTACAAAAATGGACTGATGCCATATATATGGTTCTGCAAACTGTTTTGGTTTTTTTGGGTTTTTTTTGTAATTTTACAATGCACCATAGACATTTTTCCATGCAACGAATGAAAATCTGCTACTGAAACACAGGAGGGCTGCAGCTGGATAATGAAAGTGACACCTGTATTAGCATAAGGTTTAAAGTATTAGCATAAGTTTTAAAGCCTAGGGCCTGGCAAATGCCTGCGGGATCACTACACAAAAGGAATGTCTTCAAATCCCCTTTGGGGGGCCCTGCACCCACCACTGAGTTCCCTTGGGCCCCTCGGTTGGAAGGGGTCCTGTAAACTATTTTGCATCCACATAAACCCCCCCAATTTCTGTCTGGTTTTCTTCACCTCATCCTCTACCCTAGCCATCTCAT